GGCTCTGAGTGTTGTACTCGAAAACCAAGGATCACTGGTGTTGTTTACAATGCATCCAATAACGAGCTGGTCCGCACCAAGACCCTGGTGAAGACCTGCACTGTGCTCACTGACAGCATGCCGTACCGCCAGTGGTACGAAGCCCACTATGCACTGCCCCTGGGCCGAAGAAAGGGGGCCAAGCTGGCTCCTGAGGAGGAGGAGATTTTAAACAAAAAACGATCAAAGAAAATTCAAAAGAAGTATGATGAAAGGATAAAGAACGCCAAGATCAGCAGTCTTCTGGAAGAGCAGCTCCAGCACGGCAAGCTTCTCGCCTGCATCACATCAAGACCAGGCCAGTGTGGCCGAGCAGACGGCTGCGTGCTGGAGGGCAAAGAGCTGGAGCTCTAGCTGAGGAAAATCAAGGCCTGGAAAGGCAAATAAACCTTCCCTCCTGGTGTAACTCATGTAGTAAAGGTGTTTATTGTTCTATGTGCAAAAAAAAAAAATCATTTTATTCAACACCAGGACTTTAGCCCAGGGCCTTTTATTTTTTTTGAGACAGGGTCTCACTAAGTCACCCAGGCTGAGCTCAAGCTTGCAATTCTCCTGCCTCAGCCTCCCAGACACTTGGATTACAAACACGCACCATCGCATCTGGCAAATTCTATGTATTCTTTAACAAATTACCTAATTTCTCTGGTTCTCAGTTTTCTCATGTGCGGAACAGAGTAATACTCACCTTGTAGGAGTTACGAGGATTGGAAATAATACTTATGATAAAGAACTTTAACAGAGAAACTGAAAAATTTCTTAACTGTTATTAAACTAATAAATTATAAAATATTATCACAACTGTGAGATATTATTTTAAAATTCCTTTAAACACTTAAGTGAAGATGAAAAGATAAAGAATGAGCCTTACTCCTGCAAAAAGGCCATATCCACGAATAGCAATGGATAATTCTTTGTTGTTTGAATCTACGTTCCTGATGATCCCATAGAACTGCTCCATAAAGTACTGCAGCTTACTCCTGTGTGCCTCCGCGTCTTTTGCCACCATGTAAGAAACCTGCAATCACATGACATTTACTCTTTAGCTGGCTTTAATAGTAACACAAATGAATTGACACAAATATGAAAAGACTACCAGAGTTTAGGTACCATTAACATACTGTTACAATTACATCCAATCACTGTTACCTATAAAGGTCTTTTTAGTAGTCTCGTCAGATTCAGAAAAGGACTGTTTTTTGTTGTTGTTGTTGTTGTTGTTGTTGTTGTTGTTTTTCCACTTTCAGAGGTCCTGGGCTGAACCAGAGACTTTACAATAAAGGCAATACTGGACATAACTCAGCGGCACAGTGCGTGCCTGGCAAGTGCAAGGTTGTGAGTTCAACTGCTGGTGAGACAGAGAGAGAGAGGGAGAGAAGGAGAGAGGGAGGGAGGGAGAG